TCACAGGATATCCGGGTTGTGTTTGATGTAGCTTCTGCTCAGTCACTGCTAAAATCTGAAAGGTGCTATTCACAACTTTCTCACATTAGGTGATTTCTGTCTCAGACCTGAAACTAAATCATGTGTCTGCAGATGAAGATGTTTTTAAAAACATGCATTTCTATTGATGCATGAAACCTGCAATGAAGTGTTTTTTTTTTTCAAGCTAACTGATCAGGGTTTGCTTTTTACCTTTAGTGATGAGGTTTGTTTTGCATGTGTAGCTCAGATGTGGGTCAGCTCTCTGAATGACAGCAGATACTGTGAGCCTCAGTGAATAGACAGGAGAGATCCCACACTTTACCCACCCACTTACAATCACACACACTTATGATGCCCTTTATTCCAATTACAACTCCCACGCTCACTGTCACATGCACTCTTACACACTTTCTCCAGCAAAAAAACATGAATTCTCCCACAGACAATAAGGATTCTTCCCTCACTGTGTTTCAAGAGAAGATCAGAGCTCCTTCATATACTCACACTGAAAATGTGACGGTGATGGCATATGATGAGCCCGCTTGGATGTCGTGTAGATGCATGTGCAGTCAAACACACACAATATTTCTGAAAGAGACCATCAGGAGCAGAGTGAACATTTAAACTGGTCTCCATTGTTTTGACCCATTGTTCCAAAAGGCCACTTTCTCTGCTTTGGATGTGAGGATGGGAGGGAGAAAGGTATATTTAGCAGCTCACAGTCCTCTGGTCACAAATACAGGAATTCCTGAGAGATTTTGATTGTGTGCACCAAGGGATTCAAGTTAGTGGGAGAAAAATTAAGAATGAGGATGCCACAAAATATACATTGTGTCTTTACTTGTCAGTGTTAATAAAGAATATCAGATCTGTAGATTGATTGTGGAATGGCAGAGGATTCGTTTTCAACTAGTGGATGTGTAAATCTGGTTTATTGACCAATGGTAGACGGAAGGACTGGAAGTGTTTGGGAAAACCGCTTTGAAAATGGTCATTATTTTTGCAGTACTGTTTGGTGCCACTAGAGGCACAGAAATGACACACTTAACATTGAATTAATGGCACCGTGCAGGCTTCATTTTCTTTATGCACAGTATCATTCTTTACTATTTTTTCCTTCTGTGGTTGAACTATGACACGTGTTTTTGGATAATCTCACACAATTGATCATTGTCTCTGGTCTACACCACACAATACAAAACAGAGAAATTTGAAGAAGTGAATGTCACGTATATTGCATGAGCGATTGCACAGACCATGAGATAACACTTCTCTTCACAGAACACTGACTATAGGATGTCACAGTGGCTCTTTCTTTTTGCCTTTTAAGTTTCCTAAAGAAAGTTTGTTTCTAAATGTGTAATCTCTCCTTGAAAAAAAAAAAAAAAAAAAAAGTATGAGTGTTAAAACAGATGTTTCGACTGCGTCTCTGATTAAAATGGGGCCAGAGTTGGTAAACTTGCTTCATTTCCATGACTCAGTACACACTGTTCATTTCAGTGAATCCATTCCAAACAAACGTTGCATTTGTGTCAACACTGGTCACTGAAATTCTTGAATGGCATTTTTTATATTTTAGTGAAAATTGGTGTTAATAAATATTACTGGTTATTATGTTATTATTTATGTACTCTAATATTTGAGCATATACAGTGGGTACGGAAAGTATTCAGACCCCCTTAAATTAGTCCAGGTGTGAAAAACTTGTTGCATCTTTTCCAAAAAGACTCATGGCTGTATTAGATCAAATGGGTGCTTCTACTAAATACTGAGCATTTTTCAGTTTTTCTTTTTTAATAAATTTGCAAAAATGTCAACAATTCTGTGTTTTTCTGTCAATATGGGGTGCTGTGTGTACATTAATGAGGAAAAAAAATTAACTTAAATGATTTTAGCAAATGGCTGCAATATAACAAAGAGTGAAAAATTTAAGGGGGTCTGAATACTTTCCGTACCCACTGTACATTAAGGTAATTCAATATCATTATTCTTTGGCTAATTTGGCGAGAAAAAAGGATGGAAAAACATGCCAACATTAATTTTAAGTGGATTTTACTGTATTTTACTTGTTGCGTTAATCGTTTTAATTGTAATTAGCAACATTGGATGAAAAATCTGCTAAATCTAAATATTCTACATGTTATATATTATCAAAAATAAATAAATAGTGTAATAAAAATATAATTGTTTTGGCTATATTGCCCACTTAGTGCTACTGTGTAAATTTAGGTCTGACATTTAAAGCAGTTTTCCCCCTCACTGAGGATTTTGCATCGCTTCATTTGGCGAGGTGTTTCTTTCATGTCACCACATGCCACAAGACGCAACAGCACAAGTGCAGCATTATTGCACATTTCCTGTCTGCAGATTCCGTCTTTCATAACAAGCTGTCTCATTTGAGAAGATTTCTGAACTTTCCACCCATTGAGCTTGTTCATGCCAGGCAGTTGTAGTGTGTGGGCCAGGCAGAAGTTAATTTGTTTGCTGAGCACTCAGATAAATTCTTCTTCCTCTCCGCTCAGGCTTAATGTTTGTGTGTTCATGTGTGTATGAGTCGGTCTCTTTCTGCTCACTGAGACATAGAGCTGCCATGCTGGCGCCCCAGGGATCTCCATGAATAAATGATCTTGCTTTTTCATTCTTATTCTTTCGTCCCAGAAAAGAAGAGAGAAACTCACTTTGCGTGTATTACGGGGGATGCAGCTAGTAGCTAAAAATACCTCCGACAGAATCTTTGTTGCTAAGGCTTGCTCAGCAACTGAACTGGATGTCACTCCCTCTAGAAAACCTCTCCAAGAAAACCGTTTCTTTCTGTCACTGGAAATGATGGCATATTTAGTGTCACGTGTCCCATCATCATTCCTTCCCAATATATACCCATCACTATGTCTACCCCTTAGAGTGAATGTGTGACCCTACCAAGGATTTTGTCATATCTGCTCATTTTTAGATATTTGGAGGACAGTATATTTTTTTATTGTTTTTATTTGATCAAAAATACAGTAAAAGTCGTAATATTGTGAAATAATATTGTAATTTTAAATAACTGCGATTTATTTTTTATGTGTGACCCTGGACCACAAAATCAGTCATAATGGTCAATTTTTTTAAATTGAGATTTTTTTACATTATCTGACAGCTCAATAAATAACCTTTCCATGGTTTGTTAGGATAGCACAATATTTGGCTGAGACAACTATTTGAAAATCTGGAATGTAAGTGCAAAAAAAAATCAAAATATTGAGAAAATCACCTTTAAAGTTGTCCAAATGATGTCCTTAGCAATGCATATTACTAATCAAAAATTAAGTTTTGATTTATTTATGGTAGGAAATTTACAAAATATCTTCATGGAACATGATTTTTACTTAATATCCTAATAATTTTTGGCATAAAAGAAAATCGATCATTTTGAACCATACAATGTATTGTTGGCTATTGCTACAAATATACCCGTGCTACTTATGATTGGTTTTGTGGTCCAGGGTCATATATATATATATATATATATATATATATATATAAAACACTGTTCAATTCAGGAAAAGAGAGGGAATAAATAGCACATCCTTTGGGATTTGACTGCACGAGAACATTAAAATGACAGGTGTTTCTCCCTGTTGTTTATTGATAAATCTTTATGGATCGGTAGTGCATTCCTCAAAGGCCAAAATGTCTTTGCATAGACTCTTGTCTCGATCAACCTGGATTTGTTGAAAGAAGTCTCAAGAGGCATTCAAACTGTTACTGTCATCCTGTACACACACAGAGAGACAGAGAGATTGGTATCTATAGTAGCACTTAGTGAGTGACATTGCCCCCTGGAATTTGATCAATAAGAGTAGTAATGTTCAGACATAAATATCAACATTTTATAATGCCTGTTGATGATATTATGTATACCAGCATTCAAAGGTTTGGGGTCAGTAAGATGCATCAGTTTCCACAAAAATGTTAGGTAACACTGTTTTCAACATTGATAATTAAGAAATGTTTCTTGAGCAGCAAAACAGCATATTTATTTCTGATTTCTGAAGGATCATGTGACCCCGAAGACTGGAGTAATGATGTTGAAAATTTAGATTTGCATTACAGGAAAAATACATTTTAAAATATATTTAAAAAAATATATATATATTTTAAATTATAATATTTCACAGTATTACTGATTGCAGCCTCGGTGAGTATAAGAGACTTCTTTCAAAAGCATTACAAATCTTGACTTAGCAACTGAACAGTAATGTATTGCTAAGACAAGCATCATTGTTCATACTTGTCAAATATATTCTGTACATTTTCAGTTTACAATCTCCTAAAGGTTATTTTTGTCAATATTTAGCAGTACACTAGCGAATGGATAACAGACATGGACTATAAGCCACAAAACTCATTTAATATCGCAAGTTAAAGGTATTAGAGTCATTAGATATATTAAATTCAGTTCAGAATCTTGTGGAGGATCTCCCATCCTCCCATGTTTCACTCAATACGGATCCAGCACAGGGCAGTTTTACCATCATGTAAGCACCATACATCACATAATAGCTTCTTGTGAAGGGCAGATAACTGGTTATCTTGATAACGCAAGTGTCTGCAATCTCAGCAGCAATCAGTTGTCCCCTCTTCCTCCCTGAGATATGTTCTGCTCTCTCTACACTCAATACCAGTGGTCAATACAAAAAATAAAAAACTGCAGTGGAAATAGCTCAGAGGAACTCCAAAAAGCAAAGTTCACCAAACAATCAGCTAGTTGAGAGTCCAACCAATGCGACTAATGCAGCACCTTCACATAAATTCATCTGCACTGTCAAGTTTCGTCATGCCAAATGCTTATAATGTCAACATCAGCTTTTCTGCAGTGTTGATGTTGATGGCCTTTTCCTCCACAGCTCATTAATACCGTACAAGGCCTCTACTGTGTTCGATATAAAGATGCCTCATCTAACCTTGAGCTCACTGTTTTTTTATCTTGGTTTTAGAGTGTCACAAGAGAGGAAGAGGAAGAGAAGCCAACATCCATCACAGAAGACGAGATTAAAGCTAAAATAGATGACTACAACTCCAAAGTGACGGAGAATGGAATGAAATTAGTGAGTACGGATTTGTCAACAAAGCATTTGCACTCAGTGTTGTAATTTGAGAATTTTACAGTGAGAAATGACCTGACTGAAGTTGCTTTGTTATCCTCCAGAGCTCAGATGGCACATACACTGGTTTCATAAAGGTTTACTTGAAGTTGCGCAGGCCCGTGACTGTATTTTCTGTGGACGGGAAGTCGCCAGGACCGTGTTCCTCTTCTGATAGTTCAGATAACCGCACATCCTTTTACTTGCCCAGCGATGCCGTTAAACAGCTACACATTAGCAGTACCACCATGGTCAGGGAGGTCATTCAGGGCCTGCTGAAGAAGTTCATGGTACAGGATAACCCACGCAAGTTTGCCCTCTACCGCCTGACCCGTCGAGACAGCCAGGGTAAGCGTTCAAGTGAAGATGAAATATACTTTAGTATTGTATAGTACTACTGCCATGTATAATACTAAGGTATTGTTTGCTTGATTTTTCAGATCTTTTCCAGAAGTTGCCGTTATCAGAATGCCCACTCTACTTGAGGCTGTTAGCAGGTCCTGATCTAGAGAACTTGTCTTTTGTACTCAAAGAAAATGAGACTGGCGAGGTGGAGGTGAGCTTTTCTATTCTGTCTAAAAGTAATATTTTTTAGTAATATTTGCCCACCACCATAAATATGATCAAGTATTTTAATCATTTAATGAAATACACACACACACAGTTTAAATAAATAAAAATGTTCTTTTTTTACATTGTGGGGACCAAATGATAGTAAAACCTGAAATTTTTGACATTGTGGGGACCGGCCTGCAGTCCCCACGAGCCGAGGGGGGAAAAAATGATTAAAAATAGTAAATTATGTTTTTCTGAAAGTGTAACAATGCAAACAGGTTTACTGTATGGGGTAGGTTTAGGGTTAGGGGATAGAAAATATCGTTTGGTCAGTATAAATGTAATAGAACTCCATGGAAAGTCCCCAGAATTCACAGAAACAAACGTGTGTGTGTGTGTGTGTGTGTTTATACTTTTTTCATCTGCTCTATCATTACGAATAAAAACTCATTTTAGATTTAATCACACAATTTACAATGCATTCAAGGTACACATTTACATTTTATCAGTTTTTAATTTTCCTGGTAATCGAAACCCTGACCTTGGCGTTTCTAGTGCCATACTCTGCTGTTTGAGATACAGCAAACTCTACAAAGCAGAAAAAATTATATTTGTACATATATTTTGTTTAGCCTGCTTTATCATAATGGGAAAAAAAGCAAATTTTTGCTATGATTTTTTTTTAAATATTATTTTTCATGATAATGTGATTAATATGTGAATTTATATGTAAATATTAAAATTATCATATAAAAATCTGTTTTCATCCTTTGTTTCCACTGAAACTCTACAAAACAAAATTAATGTTCTGATCAACACATGCCACAAAGCCATGCAACTAACCTAACACATGCAAACAAAAACATAGGTTTAATAGACAGTTCTATTTTAGACAAATTGTTTCCTGTCTATTATTTCATATGTCTGCCTTTGCTAATAAGGTGTTCCATCTTTTTTTCAGTGGCATGCATTTTCAGTCCCTGAGCTGCAGAACTTCCTGATCATCCTGGAGAAGGAGGAGAAGGAGCGAATGCGGCAGGTGGAGCAGCGTTACGCTGCCTACAGGGAGAAGTTGCTACGGGCTCTGGGTCAAGTCGAGAGCAAACCGGGCTAATGTAGGACAACGAATCTCCTTCACCCCACTGAGCCAACACTGGGCCAGCCTGGAGGACCAGTAGCCCAACAGACGAACTCAAAACCTCAGGACTTTGTACAAGCTCTCAGCATGCTTCTGTGACCTTTAACCCCCAAAGACGGGCGAAGGGATCGAGACATGACTAAGACGAAGAGGAGGTTGGAACTAAAGATTAGTACTTCAAGAGTAATCCTTCTCTCCAGAAATGGCACACTGTTGAAAGCCCAGGAATATGTTTCTGGCAGTCATGCTTTTTGATATGAATGGGTTTCGTTTTGTTTTTTCTCATTGTTTTTACATTGACCCTGTCTGTTTGCATTTTTTACATGCTGCTGCTATTGCTGCTACTGCAAGTGTTACTTAAAGCATGACTTTCCCTTTGGTCTCTCTGCTTGTGTCTACTGCATGTCCTCTATCAGGGAATATCTATATGAAAGAGTGGAGTAAAAAAAGCACTTCCTGTCCGAAAAGGAAGTGGGGAGACTTAAATTATAGAAAATATGATGCCAGCGAAATATCAGAGGACAAATAGGCTGCACTTCTCTGTCATGAAGCTCACTAGCCACTATATCTATAAAAAAAAGTGTTTGAATAGATATGGGCTGCTGAGCATGTTCAGACGCAGACATTTTGAGCTCCTCTGGTCCCACGTCGACTGCTACTCTCTAGAAAAAGACCGTTCGGTTGTCCCATGAAAGTGCGCCACCAGTACTTAATGTGCAGGGAGCATCAGCGGACGTGAGGATTGCGGGCTGTGGTTATCTGGTAAGCTTTTCTGAATCACTTCGGCTTTTAGCGCATACAGTAATACACAAAGTCGTGTTAGATTAGAGGGCATCTCCTAGATCAGCACTCTGAAAAGCTCTGCGGATCCAAACCACAAGCATCTCAATCTGTATTACACCAAAGGAAAACAGAACAAGCTCCCTGTATTGTAATTACAAAATAAAGCTTTTATAAAGATCTTTCTGCTAATGTAAAGTGGAGTCAGGATGTCTGTGATTTGCACACCGACACAAACCACTGAGTGGTCCGCCAGTATGTACAGTAGTCAATATTATTCTGTATAGGGAACATGAGATGGATTTAATTTTTGGCTTTGATAATAAGCATATTTTATTGCGCGTCTGCTGAATTTTGAAGGTGCATGTGAATTGAATGTGTCTGTGACACTGAGGGAATTTATTATTTGTGAAAAGCATTCAAAAGCACTGAAGCGGTTTTCCATATTGGTCGGGAATAACTGTGAACCCACAATTTGATGTTCCAGGCACTGATATTTCATTTCTCTTCTCCCTTAAAATCACATTTACGTCTCAATCTCTCAAATAACCAAACAGGACATCTTTAGCAAGCAGATTTGTGATGGCAGAGGTCTGAGTTATAATTCGGACTGGTATGTTTGTAGAGGCAATTTAAAAGTCATACATTTCCGTTTGGATCACTCTGCCCATGTGCTCGGCCTGTATATTTTGATCTTGTACGGTTACGGATCCTGCTGGACTGGAAGTATCACTTCTACTCTTAAGCAAGCGGCTGGGCCTTGTATGTCTGCTCAGGATGCTTCTCCCTGACAGCCATGTTCCTGCTGGCAGTGCCTTGAGTCTCCGTGTAGCTTATCTTGACTGTGTACTGTACATATGCTCTAGATGTCCTTCCCTATAACTCCACGTTGAGAGAGTTCACACACATTCAGTGGCAGTAGCCAGGTGCTTTCAACGTCTGAGACATTAAGTCCATGTGGGACTTTTTGGGACTAGTGTTTAAAATGTTGAAGTGTGTGTATGCGTGTGTGTGAGTGTTTGTTTAATTTATTTTTGGTTTAGTTTCAGTGTGTGTAAACTTGAATATGTGGACAAATCAGTACTATTGGGCAATCTTTTTTTTTTTTTTTGGAGTATTAAATGTTTAAAATGTCTAGTAAGCTGTAAATATACTGAAGAATGAAATAAAAGGTCACCCTTTCATGGTGATGAGTCTCTTTTATTTACACTGAAATAAATGAAGCAACTAACTGGGGTTATGAACAAATCTGTAGTTTAAATTATAAATAAAAAATAAATGTAATTTTAGAAATAATTTTTTTGTAAATAAAACAAGGATTATTGGAGTATGTTTTACAAGTCTTTCTACCTAAAAATGTCATGTTTTATTCAATGTGTTATTTGCTGATTTTTTGTAATTGTGAAATTTACTAACAATTTCTGAGTGAAAATGAGTGAAAATCGTTTCTACATCAATTTTTCATTCAATGTACTATATATGTATACAGTGTATGTGTATATATATATATATATACACATACACATACACACACAGTGCCGTGAAAAGGTTTTTGCCCCCTTCCTGTTTTTTATTTTTTGCATATTAATCACACTTAAAAGATTCAGAAATTATTACAAAATAAATGTATATTTTATTAAAATTAAAAAAACAGTTTAGGTGCATGATATCACATTTTCACCCTTTTTAGCTTTAAAAATCATGGTAATATTAAATTCTGCATCATAAACTTTTACTTGCTATCTTGTATTATGTGACTGATATAAGTTAGCGTAATTGTTTTGTTTTGTTTGTCTATAGAAAATAGACCAGATTTAATACTAGTTTCAATACTAGTGTAGCATCAAGGTTGCACAAGTCATACACAACCAGCAGAGGGAACCCTAATCATGTAGTTTAAATGCAAACACATCTTGCTCCTGGTGCAAAAGATGTCCAAAGATTATTTGTAATAGAGAGAAGCAGTTATAGAACTTGTAATCTGTTAGATACTGTGCATACTAAACTATGTATTTATATGGTACTGTGTAGCAGTATACAATTACAGCAAGGCGCAAGCACATGTTTTCACAACTACTCCGTTGTGTCTAGAACAAATAAGAAAAGCGAAGGGTCAGATAGTGCATTGTACACGTTTGTGTATATGGCAGTTTACAAGAAAAACATGCTACTTTCAGTTGTAAATTCAGTTTGAACCGGCTCCACACTTTAAATAAACACTCAGTAAAATCCACCTACAGGTGCAACAGCATGCCCATACTTGGAAAAGTTTTGCAATATTTTAAGGACACCCAGAAACCTTTTAAGTCCCCACAAAAAGATAGCAGTTGTGAGTGTCCATCATAATGTTAAAGCCCTGATGTGAGTGCTCACACCCATTCAGTCTGCTACTGAGAGGTCAGCCTGAAAACAATGTCAATATGTCATCTAAAGACACAAATATAGACAGGTTTCAGCTTCCCCTAAGACTGACGGCTAAGAATAGCATACGCTGGCTGCGGTCCTGTTGTAAGCACACCCAGTTTAGCTTGACATGTCTCACCATATCACCCCTGCATGTGCTCTTCTGCCTGTGTTGATCTATATCTGGGCTGTAAAGAGTTTGACAACAGCACCAGACTTGCCAAGGCAATTTAGGATATGCAGCACAGCTTTGGATCACACTAGGATTGTTGTGTTTTGATATTTTCCATATTTATCTTGCAATAAATCTTATAATTTTGTTTTGGAGATTGCTGTTTTAGTTGTGCCATCCATCTATGTAACTTCATACTTCAAAATTCTAAATTTCAACAAAAAATCTTCCACTTACATTGATTAAAAATCATCATTTTTGAATACGAGTCACAGCTGGTCTTCTTTTTTACATTGATTTGCATACTGTTTTTTTTTTTTTTATCTCTATATAGGCCATTTTAAACTGCAAAGTGGACACAATGGACACAATATTGCATATTAGCTATTATCACTCTTTGTCTCTGTATGTGAGTTTGCATCTTTTGTAGTTATTTAATAATTTAATTACAGTATTATTATTGTGTTACTGGAAATGCAAATCTAAACGTAAAAATGCAAATGCAAAAAAGTACCAGTGTATAAAACCAACTGAAAATGGTGTCAGTTCACTTACAGTATCTATCAACATTATATTTAATAATAATATTACACACTCCAATAATCATTTTGTTTTACATATACCAGTCACTACAGTATTGTTTGAAATTGTGAAAAACATAACTCTAAAAAAATAAAGAAAAAGAAATGGTTTTCAGTCAGACCTTTTTATTTAATGTATAGAACCTCCTTAATGATATTAATAAAATCTTTTTTTCTGTTTCACCATGGCCCTTTAAACATTTATATGCCCTTTAAATCATGAACAAAGTCCTTTTCCAAGAAAAAAATACACTGTCTCGTACATGACTAGTATCACTCAGCTGTAAAATAATAATAATAATAATAATTAAAACTAAATTTTATTTCCTCTTGCAGTTTTCTGCCAATCTAAAACCTATGCTCGTAAATAAAATATAAATGAAAAATGATGTAATCGTCATTGCTGAAATCACATGAGTAATTTATATTCATGTTCTAGTTTCGTTTTGTTTATGTCTTGATTTAAACTCCCTCGCCAGTAAACAGCCCCATTTTGGCTCAACAGGCACTTACGTCCTTGTGTCTTAGCCAATTGTTAAGCCTTGAAACTAAAGGAAGTTTGAGCCAGAATGGCGTTGTTTTGGCCGCGACCCAGGCAGACGCCTGTTTGATGACGTCACGCTGGGCGAAGAAGACGCTCTTAGCAACAAACCACACATCTATACGCGCACCATTACGAGACGGAACGCGCTTCCAAAACACTCAGACGATTCGCGCGAACACTTGTTTGACATGACGAAAAGTGTTTGGAAGGAATTGTGAGTTAATTTGACCTCCTTGTTTTTATAATGAAAGTAAGGTAGGCTTGTACTATCTGGAAAAGAGGAAACGCTAGCCTGAGCTTTAGCTGCCCGCTGGACCGTGTGCTCGGGCTGGGATGACTCTTCTTTTCAAACCAACAACACGATATTTAGGAGAGGGGAAGAGTGGAGGTGGTCGACATCCGTTTAATGTTTGGACTCAATGTAATTGTGCTTTAGGAAGACAGTTTGCCATTACGGAAACGCTTTTGTGTCCCCTGCAACTTTGAGTCTTCATCATCATCACCATCGTTATTATCGAGGACGACCGCTTCTCACTACCATTATTTGGTTTCTTCTGATGCATTTGTGAATTTATGCACATCCAGTTCCATTATCTATGGGTTCGGACCTCGCTGGAAATACAGATACCTCTGTTACACTACTTCTCCAGACTTGCAATACAGGTGGTCAAATGATAAGCCTCGTGAAAACAGCTTAAAGGGGATCATGCCTGAACCTTGCAGCACTGTGAAATCGTCTATCTAGCCTCTGAACATCTGACAAGCTTCACCTCGGACATGAGATGATATTTTAATAATCTCATTAGAAGGACACTGCATTGTTGTTTTGGATGGATCTTGCTTTAGTGAAAACATTTTTCAGAGGAAAAATAAATATTTGATGTTGACTGCATGCAACCATGATGATATTGAGCAGAAAACCAGATGGCCCCATAACTGCAGGTAATTATATCCATATGAAATGTAATATCCAGCTCTGTGAGTTTGCCGTGGCTGGTCTTGGTTCCCTTGGCAAGTGAAGACTATTTGAAGACAGCCGATTAACTCTTATGAATGCACTGCCTGTGTTAATAATTCTTTGTTAATGTACTAAAGTAAGCAAATTTAAACAAGCTTCACAATCACATCTTTTTTAAATTCCAGCTTATAAAGCGGTCACATGTATGTCAGCGGTGAAAATTCATTGGAAAGTGAGAACAATAGTCCCTACAGGCCATATTATATACATATTAACAGTTTATTCATTTGACATCTCAGTAAATGATAGTAAGGGGGTCCGAATGCTCAATAGGTGTATAGTATGTGAGGGTTTGTGTAGTTGAACATATATCAAAACGCCAAGATTGTTTAGTTTTTATAATATTTTAAACCATTCAGTGCTAATTTCATCAACCATGTAGTAATACAGCCTACTGGATTCATTATTTTAAAGTGATGCTCCTCCCAAAAATGAAATTTTCATTTTTGTTTCTTTGTTTCACTTTCATTATTTACTCACCCTCATGTTCTTCCAAACTTTGATTTATCTCATGTGTAACACAAAAGAAAATGTTTGTAAAATGAGTCGGTGCTTTTTGTCTGTACAATACAAGCCAATGGGGTTCAAAACATCATTATACTCTCATTGTACAGAAAAATAAACATTATTCAAAATATTTCCATTTGTGTTCCATGGAAGAACTAAAGTCATACAGGTTTGGAGTGACACGAAATTGTCACTCTCATTTTTGGACGGAATTTGCCTTAAGGCAAAAGTGGTCTAAGTCATTAAGACGTTTAATAAGATAATTGGTCAGAGTTGTGGAAACTGCTGAAACTGAAATGAGTCATGAAGCTTGGTTTAATATGTAGCCACCTGCTGTGTAATGTGCTCAAGGAACTGTCTGTTGTCTGGCGCACCTGCAACTTGGTTACATACCTCCCTAAGGGGATCTGTGTTTCTCAGATGGGAACATTGTTTTTTTTGTTTTTTTTCTCCTTATATTTGTGTAATAGAAATCCTCATTTATGTAATGGGTGTATTGGATGATGATGATGTTGCAAATGTGTATTAATATTTTGCTTGTGGATTTCACAATCTAATCCCAGGTACATTTTCACTCTTTCTCTACAGCTCGCCACGGGGACGGTCTGTATGACTCCTACATGCGCACCGATCACATTGTGAACCAGGACGCTGATGTGAATGGGCAGAGTCCCTCTGGACTGCCCCCTCTCCCCAAACACACTGTAAGTCCTGACTTCCTCTTCCCCCAGATTCTGTCACCGGATTCTTTCAGCGAGCACTAGATGAAAATATTTCCCTAGTGCTCGCATGAACAGTTCTAAAGAACACAATTCAATTCTAAAGAACAGCTTGAAAATCTAACCGACTGTGATGTCTCTTGTATATTAGTTTTTCGATCTCTGATCTTTGAGCTTAATATGTTCAAATATTTTGTTCACCTCCTAAGCACATGTTCTGCTGCCACTTGTGCATCTTGGAATATCTCATATTTAGTAGGGCTGGGTATCGATTCAGATGTCCCGATTCGATTTCGATTCGCAAGCTCTCGATTCGATTCGATTCTCGATTTTTTTTATTACATTCAGTGAATATAGTTTTAATACAAATGCTATTGATATTTCTAAAAAATGAACAGTAAACATCAGTTTACAAATGGTGAATTAATAAAAAGAAATTAAGAACCACATGCCTGTATTTTAAACCTATTTTTTTTTTGTATAGGTTCCTTTTTAAAACAATAATAGGGCCCTATAAAATGTTCTTAATATTTATCCTAATCAAATGAAAATGAAACCCTTTTTTTCTGGTAAACAAAGTGCTGCACAACAGAGGTTTACTGTTAAAATTAAAAAGAAAACAGATGTGATTATTCCTTTAAAAATAAAGATTTATTAATATTTATTAGCAGTAGCATTCATTGCGAATTGCGTGTATGGCCAAGATAAGTGCTGAATGAATGACAGGCTTTCTGTTGTAACATCGCGCAAGGTAAATAAGGGTGACATCTAGTGGAGAAGACTAATGATAAGATTCACGTTAATCAGATCTTGTTTTAAATGTGTGCTGAAATAAAAACTGGAAAAGATCGATTACACGGCTTTTGAGAATCGATATCGAATTGACGTCATTTAAAAAAACGATTAATCGGAAAATCTATTTTTTTGCCCAGCCCTAATATTTAGACAAGCCTTCTTTCCTCATTCTGATAGTGGTACAAGTTACATCTGCAGCACATCAAGTCTGTTTATTGTGCCTCACAGCATGTGTATCGCATCTTTCAATAAATAAACCATGATTTAATAAAATTTATATTTTTATGGTGAGCAAATACACTAAAAAACAATATCAGGTGTTCAAGCTGAACAGATTAAGCTTTTCAGTGAGGTCCATGTAGCTTACAGTATGATACGCCAACGTGGGACCGGATATGATAAAGGATATGATAATCCGATTCTCCGCTGTACTATTATGCAATAAGTAATTCTGCGTATGTGTTGGATCTGGTGACATTATTTTCAGTTATGAGACTATAATCACTTCTTTGCATGCTAATATACTGGACTTCTGTGATCATAAGGACAAGAGGAATGTAATTGTTTTTTACCCTCAGTGAATAATTAACCAGCAATCGCTCTTCCGTAAATGTTCAATAAACAATCCGGGAGTGACGACTTTGATTTTCTGGCATTTGGGGTACAAGCAATCATAGCAGCTTCCAGTAGTTCCAATCATTCAATTAGCCACTGACACAACAGATTTAATTTAGGTCATGCAGACATGCACTCCTTGTTTAGTCAACCAAGCTCTTTTTGTTGTGATTGAACAGCTGATGCATTTGGCTATGTAATATCCTTCAGTTCCCAACACACTGGTTTCTGTTTTTATCTCACTCCTTGGAACTGCCTTTCCATGCCCCCTCCCCCTCTAAAACAACTGGCACAGTTTACTAGGCACCTTATAATTCTATCTGCATGACCTAATTTTTTGTCCTTTGCTTTCTTCTTTTTCTTCTTGTGCTATATTCAGCCAAACAAGCAATGTCTTGGCCTCAACTATAAATCTTTGATAGTGGAATTTTTAAATAGGAATGGGACTTGGAGCAGTTATGATACATTAAACATTCTGAATGTGAAAGATGGTTCCTCTATTCCCATTCACTTAGGAAAGCCCACTGTGATTGGCGTAAGCAACCGCTATTTATGACATGCTTATTTTGTAAGGCAAAAGTTCAGTGCATATTTAATGATATAGTTAGGTCTAGTGGCAATTCTTTAACCATGGCGAGAATTCTTTCCAAGCGCTGTGCTAAAAGTATGTGTAGAAACTGTTATGGTGAAGTCAAACACAGTTTCTAAAAGAACATTTCCACATCGTTTTGTTTTCCCAGTCTACTGAAATGCAGTTAGTTCTATATTTAAATTGCATTTCTGTTTTGTTTTGAAACATTCAGCATGTTAGCAGGTCTTAACAATTAGACTCTTGTCTTTATAGGTTTTCCTGTATCCCATGCGAGTATGAAAATAACATCCTGTTCCACCAGTTTTCAGTTCACGTTCCAGTCAGACTGCAAAGATTGTGTCTGGCATTCTCTGTCGCCACAATTATCACTGATGCATCAAACCCCTCCACTGGTCTCATGTTAATTCCCAGGGTTACTCAGCAGCTGATCAATTCTGCACGTTTGCACTATTGATTGTTTAACACTGGTCTGATAAAACCTCAGAGTTGCAGTACATTGATTTTTCAGTTCTACGCAGAAGTTAGAAGCAATAAAAGGAAGCCTCCCTTTGATTTTGAACATCCATTCAGCTGAAAATAATGTTGACTTTGGTCAACCTCATTTTTGTCTTATACAACTTGATGTAACTGTTTGACAAACCGTTAAATATCTCTTTCCTTTTGAAGGGTGTGAACAAGCCTACAATGAAGGATCACCAAGCAATCCGCGGAGGACAGGTGAAGGTGAAATATGTTTATGAGGACACCTACAACCGCAAACTTAATGGTGTGAGCCAGCACAATGGCACAAGCCAAGTACCAGCTAAGCCCCAACCTGCAATCTCCAAAGAGAGAAGCGTGGACAGCAACAGCTCTGTCAAGTCCTCGGAGAGCTCAACAAAAGTCACAAAGCTGGGCAGCCCAATGACCCCAGAACAAGCTCTTAAGCAATACCGGCAGCAACTGACTACCTTGGAGCAGCAGGAGATCCACAACTATCCTGAGATCTATTTCCTGGGACCAAATGCCAAGAAAAGGCAGGCAGTAGCCGGGGGCACCAACAATAGTGGATATGACGACGACCAGGGAGGATACATCCACGTACCTCATGACCACCTTGCCTATCGCTACGAGTTCCTCAAGGTGATTGGCAAAGGTAGTTTCGGACAAGTGGCGAAGGTTTATGACCACAAGTTACAGCAGCACCTTGCCTTGAAGATGGTGCGAAACGAGAAGCGCTTCCATCGGCAAGCTGCTGAGGAGATCCGAATTCTGGAGCACCTGAAAAAGCAAGACAAGACAGGCAGCATGAACGTAGTCCATATGTTAGAAAATTTCACCTTCCGCAATCACATATGTATGACTTTTGAGCTGCTTAGCATGAACCTGTACGAGCTCATCAAACGCAACAAGTTCCAGGGTTTCAGTCTCCCACTGGTACGCAAGTTTGCACACTCTATTCTCCAATGCCTGGAAGCTCTCCATCGCCATAAGATCATCCACTGTGACCTGAAACCAGAGAATATCTTACTGAAGCAGCAAGGCAGGAGTGGGATCAAGGTCATTGACTTCGGCTCCAGCTGTTTCGATCACCAGCGTGTCTACACGTACATCCAATCCCGCTTCTACCGTGCACCCGAAGTCATCTTGGGATTGCGATATGGTATGCCTATAGACATGTGGAGCTTTGGTTGCATTCTGGCAGAGCTGCTTACCGGATACCCTCTGTTTCCTGGTGAAGATGAAGGTGACCAGCTGGCCTGCATGATGGAGCTACTGGGTATACCACCTCAGAAACTGCTGGAACAAGCCAAGCGTGCCAAGAACTTTATCAGCTCCAAAGGCCACCCACGCTACTGTACGGTCAGCACACTTAGCAATGGCACTGTAGTCCTCAATGGGAGCCGTTCTCGCCGAGGAAAAATGCGAGGTCCCCCAGGAAGCAAGGAGTGGGGGGCGGCCCTCAAAGGCTGCGATGACCCCACGTTCATTGACTTTCTGAAGAAGTGTCTGGATTGGGACTCTAGTACTCGGATGACACCAGTTCAGGCCTTAAGACACCCCTGGCTCTACAAGAGACTGCCCAAGCCTGCACCTGGTGGAGAGAAGTCCACAGCGCCCAAACGGATCACCGAGCACAGCACCTCTTTCCCTACTATCATCTCCAAGGTACCCCCTGTCATGGGCTCAACCAATAACAAACTGCGGACCACCATGATGGGGGACTCCACTGGAAGTATACCTTTTCGCACAGTGCTGCCGAAGCTTGTTTCATAGAGATTCCTTAGCTTTTCAGGGATAAAAACATATGTAGCATTTTTAGAAGTGGATTTTTCCCCCCCTTTGTTTTGGTTGTTTTTTCTAAATGAGTGTGAAAACTCCGAGTTTCAATTTTTAATGAAGTGTAACAAGCAAAAACTATTTTATACAACTATACTGTGTTTTTATCAAATGGCCTTCAGCGTGTAAAATGCAAAGTTGACATCAGGGCTTTTTTCTTTACACCTTGGTCTTGAATTGAGTGCTGTTGATTGGAGTGGGTGAAATTTTGATGCTGACTGCTCATCCTGTTTTTTCTGAAGTTTACACTACTTCTGCTCAGACAAACCTACAACTTTTGCATCTCTAAGGGCTGTTTTGCTAGTATGTGACTCTTAATATTCTTTTCAAGGGCTTAGAGTGGATTTTTGCAATTTTAGGTCAAACATCTGAATCTAATCTTCATTTAAAACAATTTAAAATATCTAGTTGGTGGTTTAAAGCCTATGTTATCATCTTAAAAATGATCTTGATCTAATTCAGATGAGCACATTTCTTATTTTAACAGTATCCTCCCCCAGTCACCTGCATCCCAGTGTGAGGTCAAACTCTGTTTATTATTTGAGAAGCTGTTGCTTTGGATAAGTTACCCTAGAACAAGATGAAGAAAGTTATATTTGTTTGTAAGTGGTAGAGTAATGCAGGTCACAGTGCTTTCTGATGGCCATGCCCATTCCTGGCATGTATTGGGAGAGATGGGCACTATTTCATAAGTGTCGTAGGAACGTGTTTTTATCAGTGCTGTATTGAAAGATATTAGTCAGGTTTCACTTGAAGGCAACAGGCAGTATCACGTGTTTGTCTGTACATGGTGGTATGTATTTCCCCTAAGTTGACTTCATAAGCATATTCAAAATACTAGCTAACAAAAGGCTGAAGATGCATCTTTCGAGATTGCGTTTGACCTATGAACCTCTCCCTTGTCCGGTAATTTTTAATGTTTAGTTTTTGTTTTGTTAGTAACTATTCTTGCCATACATACTGTGAGAGAATATAAAAAAAAAAAAAAAACATGACTAAAGATATAATGCAGGGTACTTCCCCTCCCCCAGAGCTTAGCATCAGTACATAGAGTGGTTAATTTCCAGTGACTCTGGTTGATTGTGTAGTAGGGCTGTCAAAATGGCTAAAACTAAATTCGAATTTTGTACTTAAATATTATCAAAATTCGAATTATATTCGCATTTAAAATGCATAATTTCAGTTAGGGTGGAGAAAAGCTTTTGGATTCTCTCCTGAGGCCACAAGAGGGCGCATCGAGCAAAATATTACTAATGCACGTTTCTTCAAAGCATAAGATAACATGACTATCTGTGAAAAAAGTGCATAATGTTTAAAGTAATGTTTATAAACGAATTATAATTAATTAAGTTGCTTAAACAACTATAAACAAAACAGCATCATGTATGTATTCATAGTTTAATACAAAGGGCCGAAAGCCAATCACACAGAGTAGTTTTTTCATTTAAAAACACGAGTTGCAGTGGGATGGGGAAAAACCCCCGCCATAAAGTCTCGAGATATGTTTTTTCAAAGTTGAACTTGCATTAATTTTTCATGGCTTTCTAAAAATGCGGCTCTTTTGTGCGAGATGCGAGTGCAACGGTGATAGATGTCCCTCTAGAAAATGCGCGAAATATGCGTTCTGTGTGAACAGCTTGGTTTCAGTTTTGATGTAAACAACATCATCTCCGTATTGATGTTCTCTTTTCCCGCAATATTTGTAATTAACGCAGCAGCGGCGCATCTAGTGGCTTCAACTGGATAGGCTAATAAAAACATTAAAATGCAATGACACTTACATCGTCATCGCATCTCGTGCGCCACTGATAAGGCTGCCTCCTTAACGCACACATAACGTTTTTGCATTCGAATGTGGATTTTTATTTTAAATTTGACGAATATTCTAAATTCAATATTTTTTTTGACAGCCCTATTGTGTAGTCTGAAATATCTCTTCATAGTGGCCTACCATTTTGTTCCCTTTCACTCTAGGTTTACAAGAGAATCTTGTTCTTTATACAGCCGAGCACGCAGCACATTCACCCCTCCCACAATGGCGCTGGTCAGTGTCTGCACTTTGAGTATTTGTCCATGTGAACCCACTATCAGGACAAACAATATATGCATTTGGTTGTTCGGAAGGTTGTTGTATGATCTAACGTAAGCATGTTTTTTGACACTGCCTCACTCTTTCTAGCTGTGAATTTAACATAATGTTTAGAAGCTAATTGTTGCAAGGTAAGACACTAATCTGCTGAAGGACTGTGAAACTGAATGGCGCTGAACCCATTGGCCCTGACAGGTGTGTACAAAGCATCTGTGTGCTACCTGGACCAAGTGGATACCAGGCAAGTAGTTGTAAAAGTCCTCTTAATTGGAAAAACAACATTGTCTTTTCACACCTCTTTCTCAGGTTTTAACCTTCCTTTGGGGTTTAATGGACAGTTATATATGATTCCACACACCTAGTGGGTGTAAAGATGGTGATGATTTGGCTCTCAATAAAGCTGGGTTTCAGAAAAGCTTTATAGCTTAAGAGATGTTGGTGCTCAAATTAGACTATAAACTCCAGGCCTCTATGGTGTCTTTGTCCATTCGTAATCATTTTTGGGTTTCATACGTGGTCTCCTGCAAAGTTTCAGTTGTTCTGCGTATTTTTGGAATACATCAGGGAAAAGTTTCCAGGCAAAAGTGGTTTTAGTGTTGTTTTTCTACCTCTTTCTTGCTTGTGAAATCCATCTTGTATGCTGTAGAGAGATATCTACCACACAAATAACAGCATCTCGCTCCACATCTTTCTACTTCGCTTCAGCGTTCCTGCCTGTTTGCGTTATCCTGAATATTTCACCAACGCACCCGTTCACTTAGCTGTCTCTTTGTTGTTCGTCTCGGTGCGTGGACCCCTCGGTTTGGGGGGAATCTAGTCTTGTGCCTTTAACTGAACACACTTGACTAAATCAACACTAAGCACGGGATGACTAATGTTTCTCTTCCAGCTTTAATGGTCAGGTTTTTGTAATGCTTTTATTTCACCCTTTTATAGAGTTTTTACTGTTACTCGTGTTTTAAAGAGAAGTGAAAGAGATGATGTAATTTTCCTTCTAACTTTGTCTCTTGGCTGTTGGCTATGTGGTTCAGAGCATGATAATCACAGCACGCATGAAAATAAGTGATAAAGTGAAACAGGACTAAATGACAAGATTTAAATAATGACAAAGTGTGAGTAACCAAATGAGCTTGTATTAGTTTCTTTTCTAAAAAAATAAATAAAATCAATATTACCAGTCTTTTGTTTGAAATTTGTCTGTTTTTCAAATTTTTTTTTTTTTTTTTTTTTTGTTACATTCAAAGGTTCTCAAAAATGAGAATTGGCATCTTTATTTAAGGTGGCATAAATTGAAGAACTCACCTTACCTACTTTGTAAATGTATGTTATAGATGAATCTTTCATTCATGTATTTCATTTTATGAATTTTATTTTTGTTCAGTTAAAATTGTTCAATATGCCGGGTTTTCCAATCATTAAGCCCGTATACACTCAAGACTCCATTCCTTATTTATTTTTATTTTTTTGAGTGCAATAGCAACATGTCAAAATCCATTCTCCGACCTACATTTTTTTTTTTTCTTTTTGGGTAATTCGTTACTCTTGGGTGTACGTGAAAAAGTACAGGATCTAGTGCTACTTCAGTTTCAGTGCAACTTTAAGCTATTTTAACTTTAAGCTGTTTTAAAGGGGTCATATGATGTGATTTCAAGTTTTCCTTTCTCTTTGGAGTGTTACAAGCTGACTGTGCATAGATACGATCCCTGAAGTTGCAAAGACTAAAGTCTCAAAACCAAAGAGATATACTTTATCAAAGTTAAGACTCTGCCACGCCCCCCTAAAACGGCTCGTTCTAACACGCCCCCACATATCTACGTCACTATGTGGAAATATTTGCATAATGCCGCCCAAATGTGCACGCAAAGAAAGAAGGCGTGGTTTCAATAACCGCAGTTAGTGTTGAAGCAGCCATGTCAGGGAGACGCTGTGTGTTTCTAGCCGAAAGCAAAAGCACTTTATTTGGCCTTCCGAAAGTAGATGCATTTAGGAATCTTTAAGATTACTTACAACAGAACAGCAATGCATTTTATGGACGACCGTTTCGTGAACCTAGGAGAGGAGGTAATTCTGACTTTGCTATAATCTGGCGCTTCTGAATCAGCTACTGTTTTGCTATTAGTTTAAGTATTTGCTATTGACTGTTAAAATGCGGAGTTTTGCGCATCGTGTATGTCTGTGTGTGTGTGTGTGTGCGTGCGTGCGCACGCGTGTGTGTGTGAGAGAGAGACAGGGACACATCACAGTGGAGTCAGCTGTCTTAACCGTGGCTTGTGTACTGCAAACACATACCAGCTTCATCACTGTGTCTGTCACGCGACTCTGTTCCCCTTTCGGGCTCTGTCTTTAACATTATTTACTGTCTTTACATTTATTTTGAAAGATAAAGCTCGCGATTATGGTAAGGGGCGTTACATTTCCGACAAGTGCTTGCGGTGTTCGGCCAATCACAATGCACTGGGTCAACTGGCCAATCAGAGCAGACTGCGCTTGTCGGAAGGAGGGACTTTGTAGAAAACGAAGCGTTTGAGAGAGGCGGGGCATAGAGGACCTACAATAATGTACAGTATTTGAAAAATAATGTGTTTTTTGAACATTAAAGCATGTCAACATATTCTGTTACACCAAATACACAAAATAATGATCTTTAAAAAAGCATCATATGACCCCTTTAATTATTTTAAAAACTAATTTTTAACTGGCAAACTTTACTCAACAAACCAGCAGGCTCCTCAACATGCCTATGAAATACAATACTATGTAGGAATGTGCACTAAAACATCATTACAATTTGTATGAACATTATTTGCATACGTTATTATTCATGACACAAGTGTGCATAACTTCTAGAAGTCGTAATTGGTCTTTGCGTGAAAGTTTTAACTGTCTTGTCCAAAGTATTCAAGAGGTGCTTTTTACAGGTCCATAGTTTTAATACACTTGGAGTCAGACTCATGCAAACAAGCCTGGCCTCATTTTAAATACTGATGTGATAAACAACAGATCACCTTATAAACCATGTAAACAAATGGGAGCATCACCTGCATTTCTAACTGCATATCTGAAAAGTATGTGCACGAGATGAAATCAAATCAGGCAGCTCGTGCATAGTAATCTAGTTCATGTGGATTTGGTTATGCTGTTTTCAGTTGCTTTAAGACTCCTAATGTTTTGTCTTGTCCTTGTATTCACTTTTCCAATCTTTATAAAACTGAAATTATAGATCTAAATGGCAGTATTGGCTTGGTTGAATTTTCAAATTTTATAGATTATCTCAGACACAAAAGTAGGTCATTAGACAAAGTGATGTGGAGACACAACAGGATACTTGTAAACAGTAACAGGAGGTCTGGATATATTCAAAATTAGACAATATATGAATGTGTGTTTGCTAGACTGTGATCTCCAGCCTCACTGAAACTTGTTGAAACTCCCCTGAGGGCAGCAGCAGAGATGGCAATTCGGTCGGTTGGTATTTACATATGGTGAGCTCATAAACATACCACAATATTTACATGGTAAAAACAGATGTGTCCTGTATTGGAACAACAGGGAAAATTATTTAATCATTTTATGTACCAATATCCCACTTAGTCATCATATAATTTGTCATTTAGGTGATTTTGAGGATCTTGGTACATTTGTAATGGCAAAAATATCCAAATCAATTAAATCACCGTGCACTACCTGGAGATGTAAGTAGGTGTAGCAGCTTAAGCTAGCCTGCATTCAGCTGTTCTAATATTGTTTTGGTTGGTTATTTTTTTCTTCCTTACCAAAGGCTAATACAGAGTATGCATTGTGTACAGGTGTCTCATTTGACATACTGTTTTAAGAAATGTTGTCTGAGAAATGTATTTACGTTGAAACAATTCAATAAGATGTTACCCAGTATGTTCTGTAATCTAAAGTTGCTGTTGGCTTTAGCACATGTAGCATGTGCTAAAGCTAACAACAACACATCTTGTCTGTGATTTCTCTGACCATAAACACTTCAAAGAAGAAATAAAATGCTCATGTTATATTTAACATGGTACTACCCTTTGAAATTGTGTATATGTCCAATTAACTGAGACACGTGACATGCATTTGGGATTAATCAGTGCAGTTGTGTGACTATAAAATCCTGTCTGGGGCAAGTCATGACCATCTCTTCACCAGTCTTCAACATGTCTAAACAGGCTCAGAACAACAGTGCGTCACTCGTTTCTCATCAATCTCATCGAGATTTAGGGACAACATGGTTGATTTAGCCTCACAGAACTGTCCTGCTAAAAGAGATCAGATTAAGTCAATCCCATTAAGGATCCAACACACTGAACGTATGACCCATATGGACTCGTCAGTGGCCAGGCACAGCTCGAATGGTCCAAGTAGTCGGATCCTCCCTCCCTTCGCCCTTTGTGTCAGGGACAGTCTTCCAGCCTGAGGGTTTTACAAAGACTTAGTCCTGTAGCCATATGGAGCCTTCACGGGGGATTGTAGACCGGCCGCTGTGATGAGAGTGTGACCATTCATTAATGTTACTGTGGAGTATGATGAGGAAAAACAATCTAAGGAGCTATTCACAAAAAAAATGTGTTTTTGTATTTAAAAACGCGAGACGCATGCTAGTGGTATGAAAAAAATAATGCAAGAGATCTTGAGATATGTTTTTTTATTGAGCTTTGTGTTCTTAGAAGGCTGTCATATCCACTTTTTTCCTAACAAACCTACTGTGTTTTAAATTATGGGAGGCACTTCCGGTTCAGGGAAGTTCCACTCAAAAAGACCGCAACAAATTATTTCAAATCATAAGATTGCGCTACAAATAATCCTTATCCTTCATTTTGACTGAATGGGCCAGGAAAATAACGTTAAGTTTGGTAAATTAATGTGACAACAATATCTATAGAATAGCTCTTTTCAGCCCGCTGCATTATTTTCCTCCTGATTATTTTCAAGTTTCCTTTGTATTCCGCTGTAAGTAAATGAAAAAACAACAACATATACTGTGCATTTGTGGTCTGCGCTCTCCCAATTTAATTTACGATATAAACCATGAATAATTTCCTGCCATTAACATTGTCATCTATTACCATGCTAAAATCTTCCGAGAGTTGTCATGATAGAAATACACTTGTATGTAAATTGTATACTCATGCAGAAACATTCATGTGGGTTTTCTCTGGAATGATTTCATGAAACCATCCTGCACAAAATGAAAGAATCGGAGCAACACAGCAGTTATAATACAGGGACTTCAGGTCAATTCAACGAACGGATAACCTCAAGAAAAACATCCTTTTTGTTTATTCAAATTGTTGTGACACGCTTCATGCTTTTGCATGCACTGCATTCAGAGAATGTATGCACTGCTTTCAGAGAACGTTATTAGCTTTGGTACGGTGTGTTTCAAAGTCACACGATGCTTGGTTTACTGAATACAAGCACAAGACTGCACCCATTTGGTTCTTATAAAGACATTAAATGAGGAAGATATTTTTCTCGTGCTGATGTGAGCTAGTTTTATAGAGCCGATTTTGAAGCCCACCAACGCCACAGTTAGTTCAGGATTTATACGCTTGTTAGCTTGAGGTGATCTAATGAAAAGGGCTAGAATGGAACGTTTGCATCAGCGATAAAATACAAGCACATATTATTGTGTGCCCACCTGGATCTGAGTAATAGTCATATTGACGTCTTTCATGTTAATTGAATGGAATGCGTCAGAGCAAAGTGAGTCACTGATGTATCATAAAGTTTTCACACTGTTGTTGTGAACTACTTTCCCATAAAAATGCTCCTGTAAAGCATGACCCTGTCCTTACTGTGACAGTTGTTGTGAGAATCGACCACACAGGTCTAATTTGGCTGGTAAAACTGTGGCCTTTATGGAAGGCTGTTTATCAAGAATTAAGGCTGAACAACAGGCCTGGGAAGTCTTAACTTGAAGCAACTCTTCTAGTGAAAAAGTTTCAGGATTGATGAGCTTGCTCAATATGAATCATTCGTCTGTGGTATGTGCTACCGGACAAAAAAATGCATGTGTCTGCATATGCCCTCATTGCACTTCTTTGTTTCCATTCTGATAATGTTTTGAGTTTCTCTATTGGGTGGGAGGAATACTTTATTAAAGCTCAGCAATCTTGCACCACCCTGCCCCCTCACAAAGGCACTCGTGCAATTGCAGTCTAACACATGTCCGCACAAGCCACGCACAGGTCCCCACAACTGTAGTGGCAAACAGTTTAAAAAGGTGGGGCTGCATTTTAGGAACATTTGTCCCACAACCCGAACATTCCACATTCCAGGGCAGCAGCCAGAGCCACAGTAACAGGAGCACTGCTTGTGGGTCAGGATGGACCGATGACTGGCACACAGATGTGGAAGAAGCAGCTATACTTATGATGAGGGTGGCCTACTTATATTACCCCAGCAACAGGTCAGATGTATGAATCTCATAAGAACATGGCTATATTTTATCCATACAATCAAAAGAAAAAATGAGAAATATAATAATAAAAAATAAAAAAAGTTTAATGAAATAGAAGGCAATTTTTAGTATAACCACCTAATTTGCAATACTTTGCAAAAAAATACTGTTAATAAAATGTACTGAACAAAACTTAATTATTATTAAAGGGGTCATATGATGCGATTTCATTTTTTCCTTTCTGTAGCTCTCATGAAATCCAAAATGAGCCAATATTTGGCATGACATTTCAAAATGTCTCACTTTCAACATTTGATATGTTATCTATATTCTATTGTGAATAAAATATAAGTTTATGAGATTTGTAAATTATTCCATTCCTTTTTTACTCACAATTTGTACAGTGTCCCAACTTTTTTGGAATTGGGTTTGGGTTTTTTGGAATTGGGTTTTTTGGAATCTTCTAAAATTAGCTTTTTTTATCAGGCTCCTATGTAGGTAAAGTGAAATAACTGAACATAAACAAAGGAGCCTGAGAAAAATGCTCATTTTAGAAGTAAATTTCAAACGGCACTTAGAGGCTTTTGCATCTGAACTCTTCATACATATATTCAGGTTTATTTATATTAACAAAATACATTTGCAATAGATTTACTTTTAGCTCATAATAACACTGCAGGCCTGTAGGTATTCTTTATCTTATCAATGTTTTTGCTTTTCTGGATGAACTTCCTCATTCATCTTTGTCTTACCTTTGTCTCATTTCTTTTTCTATGCCTCTTATGCTCTGTCTCTGTCTCTCATCTGTTTTTTGCTGATTTGTTTATGGCTGAACTCAGCAGGCCTCAGACAGCACTGAAATAGCATGACCCCACAGTTTGCCTGGAGAGCAGCAAAATGAGAGCATGCTCCTCTTTGGGAGCGTCTGTCTGAGGAGCGTCTGCCTGGGAACCCCATATTTTGTGCCCCATTATGACAAATAATTAAAATTCTTTTTTAAGTGAAGAATTTTTTTTTCTTCTTCTTTTTATGGAGACCCTCAAAAAAAAAAACACTGCTTGTGCTTTTACTTTTTCTCTCTAATCTGACAGTGTTGCCAGTTATAGTCCTTAAAGAGGTCACAAAACCAACATCACTGTCCTGTGACACAACTCTCTCAAGTAGCCCTCTATATACTGCCATCGTAATGTTGATGTTTAAATAGCCAGGCAAGAGACATCAACACCAACTGACTCCATGCTAGGGCAAGGTATCTTTGTCGTCATGGCAACAGTCTGACCTAAGATATGTTTATATGAAGTGTTTTTAATAATTACATAATTTTTTGTTTATGTTATATAGGGTAATATAAAAAACACAGTGATGAACACCAGACCTATATGGAAAAGGGAGTATTGACAGCAGCACAAGGACTGAATTATGGCTGACCTTTTAATGCACTGAGAGTAGACATAGTGACTGCAGTATATACTGCTGTTTACAAAAGAGAAAAAACTTTTGGATTGCAGCCCCTGTTCTCTCAGGAAAGGTTTTGTTCTAAAGCAGTGCTATGAAAATTGCTGTTAGCATCCCGTGAATGGCCTACTTTCCCCCTGGGCAACCTTCTTGTTCAGAGTGTGCTCCATAAAGATGTAATTGGGGTAAGAGTCTTGTGCAGTTTATGCAGTGCCTTCACGCAAATCATTTTATTGCAAAGTACACTTAATGAAGTGCACAATGTTGGATATTTTTCAGTGATATTCATGTGTCCAAAAGCTGTCAGTATGATTTCCAAATTATGTGACAGTGTTTGAGTAAAAACGTAAAGTGAATTACCTTTATGACGCATTTTAAAATGGCCCAGTTATGTACAGAAACTGAATCTGTGTAGGATTATGATTCCACTGTGCCACATACAGAGACATCAACTTACAAAAACACAACAAGGGCTGTAATCAACAAATACATTTGACTGAATAAATAAATACATAAACAAACCTGTAAAATGTGTCACAATGCAGCCTATTTACACTGCTCGTGTCTCTGTTTTTAATTCACACGCACTTTGCACTTTTTGCAATGAAATTTATAAAATAAAATTAAAAAAATTTTGTAGACTTTTCCAGTCTGAATTGGATCCAGTGTGCGGTTAGCCACCTTCTTGTTCAACACTGTTTCAGTCTTTCTACTATAAAATTGCATGTATAATTCAATGTGTTGCTTGCTATTTGTGGAACTTATTAATTGAAAATAGTTTCAAAGTAAATCCTACACAATTTTTAGTCATGGCCTAGTACATGCTGGGAACAAAATATTTCACTTAATTTTATAGCTAACTTGTTATTTGTAAATAGTGCTAAATTATTTCTGCTGGATTCATTTCACTGAACATTATTTCATCACACATTTATATCACCTTTTTAGTGCATGAATCTGACTTGTATCATTTGAGTATAACATTTGCTGTTATGTTATGAATTATTTTGATGTTAGTATTGTGCATCTTCATATGCAACAAGAGTCAAACTGACTCAGAGCATATTGTGCATGGACATTGTCTCATTTCACAGGAAGCTTGTTGCTTAATGTCACTGTTGCTAGGTAAACAAGTTATTTGTAGCCAGTGTCAGATTTCAGTTGGGAGGCTGCAATGCAGAAAAGCCATCCTGGACAAGATTACAGGTAACTTTCGGTCCTGCCTTTCCCCTGTGGGAAGATTTTTCCTCCCTATGGTTCACAAATACACAGGAGTGGTGGCTTGATCTTCTTAATAATATGAATTATAATTAAAATGTAAGCTACATTTCTATTGTGTGTACTGGGTTCAGCAGGGTTGAGCTTTTTAACCTGTTGACAGGTGGGGACAAAAACAGAAACATTGTTTTGGGCCCCTCATAAAGTATCAAATATTGGTAATTGTTAATATACAATAATGATTCCCTGAACGTCTTTGCAGTGCTGAGCAGGATATTCAGCTTCAGATTCAGTATTTATCGGGTCAGGTGTACTATCGAATGTGATCACATAGTTTGTCTGCATCTTCAATTGTATAATGTGACCTAGTTAAACTATTATCAACTACACTTATTTATATCTTGACATTTATGCACCACTGTTCACAAGTTTGGGGATGGTAAATTTGTTTAATGTTTTTGAAAAAAGTCTCTTATGATCACCAAGGCTGTATTTATTTAATCAAAATACATTAAGAAAATACAATTTTTTATGCTAATAGATTTTAAAATTAAATTTACTCCTGTGATGGCAAAGCTACATTTTTGGCAGCCCAGTGTTACATGATCGTTCAGAAATTATTGTTATATGTTTTGATGCTCAAGAATCATTTCTTAATATTATCAATGTTAAAAACAGTTGTGCTGTTTTTTTTTGGAAACTGGTCTTTTTTCAGGATTTTTTGATGAATAGAAAGTTAAGAATTTATTTGACAAACTTTAAATATCTTTACTATTACACTCTAAAAAATGCTGGGTTGTTTCAACCCAACTTTGGGTCAAATATGGACTAACCCAACTGTTGGGTTAAATTTTTTAAATTACATTTTTAACCCAGAAGTTGGGTTAGTCCATATTTGACCCAAAGTTGGGTTGAAACAACCCAGCATTTTTTAGAGTGTACGTTTGATCAATTTAATGCACTCTTGCTGAATCCAATTCATGAGACACACACACACATATACAGTACATACAGTCCGTAACGCATACATATAAGTAAAAGATTGAATCATTTACTAATCACTCTATTATTTTCTGTCATTAACACGTCAGGTTCAGCTAGGGTCAAGACGTCAAAGATGTGAGAGTTTTTTAATGTATTATTTCTTCTATTATATTGTAAGGCTGTAAAGTTGTCAGATTTTTTATAACCTCTCTCCTAAAACTGTGTTTGTCCATATATTGTATACGCTTGTATTTGTCTGAGGGAAAAATTATGTGCGTGTTTGTATCTGTGTGTGTGAGCATGTTTTCAGATGGCTGTGTTTGTTGTCTTTGTTTGTTGCATATGAGCAAATGGTGAAAGAAGCCCAGGCTTTCTATGGCCAGGCCTCCTGCCGAGCAGCTGTTGGCACGCTGAAGGAGCAGCTCAGCTTTGTTCTCCTACCACACTGACCGCTGAGTGCTTTCCCGTGTCAGCAGGACTGGGCTCAATGCAAGGCCTTGAAGGACTCTATATCCGTCTGCTCATGACAGGGTGCTGTTTGCAAGTCTCCTTTCCCCCTGGTCCAAAGTCAGTTTTGTGGCTTATATTATACTGATTAATACAATTATTTGGGTCAGCACAGCTGGCCATGGATCAGTATAAAAGGAAACGAGGCAGCAGTCAGGTCAAGGTAAGTGAAGGACTCCTGCTTATCCGCTCCGTCAGTGCCACAGCAATTACAGACACTTAATCAGGGATTAAACACCCGTCACAAGCAGATTGAAGACCAAACAAACACCAAACTGCCATACCATATTCTGTTATGTCCATTTCAAGATCAAATAAAAAAGGTTTTCAGCTAATCTTTTTTTGTTGTTTTTTTGGTGAGACAAAGTATTTGAACTCATATTTCACTTAAGTTACAGTAAATGCACTGCAAAATACAAAATTATGAGTTGAGAATACTGATAATATTGAGGACTAAGAGAATGAAATCAATTTAATACTTGGTTCCATATTTCCATTCAACCTCTGCAATCAAAGAATGCAGAAAACAACCTTGCAAACTTCTGTAAGATGGAACAGAATAAAACACCACGCCTCCATCAGTATGAGATCTCTAAATAATTCAGTAAATGTCAGTATGTTTTGATATTAAGAATGCAGAATCGTTTTATGTAAATGCCGCTATTATATTCGGTTGTAGCACAAATCTTACAAGGCATCTTGTGAATAATGCAGCTTGTTGAACTTACCATCCTGAGTTCTCAAACTTATCCTTATTATAAAGAGTTCAGAACGATTTCAATTTATGTCTCTAGTCAAGCTACATTTGACAGTCATTGTTCATATACACCTTTATTGTCGTGTATTCAAATGTAGCCATTCATTTCCTCCAAAACAAAGTGTTGCATTTATTCTCTTGTGAGATGTGAGAGGAAGCTAATTTGTGGCTTTCCCTTGTGACATCTACTGAAACCAGCTACAACGCATTTTGCATTGTTGACCACAAATAACAAGGTGTACATATTTGATATGAAGTATAATGCAATGTATTCTATAATTCAAGGTTAGACTAGTCAGCATGGCATTGTATCCATTCCAGCCTGCTGTGGAAAACTCTGCGCAGGAGACATCTGTGCACACTATTTGAGTTGCAGTCTAATTGGCCAAGAGGCCTTGCTAAGGGTAATTTAGTTAATCCTATTAGGCAGTGAAATCTACACTGAAACGTGAGGCTTGTATTTGCAGAAATATTAGAATGTGATACTTATGCAGATGTCTGAGGCATGGCAGTTTATTTATAACTCTCTCCTCTGGATGGCGTGGAGATGGATTAGTTTAGAGTGAGGTTAACGTTCATGCAAAAATGATAATGAAACACCTCAGATGGCCTTTGGTTCAAATACCC